ATAGATCTATATATTTTATATTTAACCTAGGTATTCTCCAACTCACAAAACGTAAAATCATAAAGAAGATATTTTTTAATAAATATCTTCGTATCTTCGTACAACCTTGACAGAGTAAAAGAGTAATTTGAAGTGACCTTCCCTCGTAAAAATATGGCTGTGCACGATTTCTAACTGAACCCTTAATAGCGTTGTTTGATATTATATTATCCATGATTTTGTCGCTTCAAACTGTTCATTTTCATTTGAGGGTTCTTTGTGAAAGTGACTTTAATATTTCTTGTTTATATTTTACAAGAAGCAATGGATAACACTTTTTGAGATCAGAATAAGGTTTCAAGGGTAACGTTGTAAATCGGGCATTGTCATCTTTGCAAGGAGGGTAACTTGAAATTACGCCAACATAAATAATTTTCGGAAACGTTTTTTTATGTCAGGCGAAATTTTGTATCTTCCGCTGGGTAATATCAGTGCTTAGGATCCATTTAATTTTGATGCGGATCCGGATCCTTGATCCGCAATGGAAAAAATGGATCCGGATCGGGATCTAGGTCATTTCTTAAAATTTACTGAATTTTTTTTTTGACAAAGCAGAATTATCAAATTTATTGTCTTTTTTCGCTTATTTGCTAAAACTTTATGAACCATTAACAAAATCAGGAAATTTTTATAATCTCTTTTTTTCAATAGTTCAAATTTGGGTTTTGAGAGTAAAAAATTTATTCTTCAGTATTTGGTTGAAATTTTGCCCCTTGGTTCCGGATTCGTGGATCCGCCATTTTTGCGGATCCGGATTCAGGAAGCCAAATACTTGCGGATCCAACGGATCCGGATCCTAAGCACTGGTAATAATATTGTTGTTATGTAGGGAGATGTGTGCCCGAGCTCCCCTGGTTATGTCTGAAGACTTGTTGAGGGACCTGGCCGAGTACAAGACCTACAAGGACAAGGGGGTCATGATGGCTAGCAGGAGTCTCATTCAACTGTTCAGGTACGTCATAATCTAAAGGTACATGATTATGAAAGTAAATTGCAAGATTGAAGTCTTAGATTTTCCAATTAAATGTTTTCTTGTTGAAGATATTTAACTGATTAAAGCTGCTTTTCTCATCCTTGTGCGTAAGATCAAAACTATATGAGTTACTTTGTCACAAAACCGTAACAGTAGTTTCGCAAAGAGTTTACCTTTTCCTTCTCTGTAGTTTGGTAAAAGTCATTTTTCGTACTTATTAAGGTGTTAAGTGCGTGACTTTTGTCAATAGCTTCTTGTTAAAGGGACTGTAATTGAAAAATAAAAGGGGTTATAGGCTGAAAGCTGTGTATAGCTCTTAGTCGCGACCCATGGTGGTCACGTGTTTCTGTCTGTATCACGTTACCAGTATACTGCATTTTCATCGGCGGGTGTTCTCGTGACGTAATACGGACTTTATAATAATATTATTAATNAAGCTTTCTTATATAATACTGGGAGAAAATATAAGTTACAATTAGTCTGAAGGATATCTTCGTTTCAGATTAGTTGCAGATTTGCTGAATCTGATCTGTTTAATCCTACTTTTTCTATACAAAATTGTATATATATGAATTTTCGTATAAAGGTATTGAGTTTTAGCCAACAACTCGTATTTTCTAATCCCTAAATCTTTTCAATCCATGTATAGACCTTAAATATTTCAAACTGTGATCTATGTTGGCTAAAATTATCTAAGATTGAAATATCTCAGGTTGATCTCATTAGGTTGCTAAGAAATAGAGATTCGAAAATTTGAGTTTGTTGCAAAGACTCAATTTCCTGTGACACAGTTTTATATAAATTTCTCGAGACAGGAACATCAGATATAATTTTCATGGGTCGCTATCAAGAGCTAAATTGATTAGCTTTCAGTCTATGTTCCCTTGCATTTTTCCTTTACAGTACTGAAAAGTCACACTTATTTAGCTAATACTATTTTGCAAATGATAGAAGCCATTTTGTGCTTGCTTTGTACTTAACAGAAGTTATTAGGTATATATTACAATATTACGTGAAAGACGTCAGTCGTCAGTTACTTAGAACATAATATAGAAGTCTTTAGGTGCTTGTTTAACGATTAGTTCATAATAGAACTCACAAGGTCACTTTTTTAATGTTTAGTTAATAATGATCTCACAAGGTACTTGTTTAATGTTTAGTTCATAATAGATCTCACAAGGTACTTGTTCAATGTTTAGTTCATAATAGGCCTCACAAGGTACTTGTTTATTGTTTAGTTCATAATAGAACTTACAAGGTACTTGTTCAATGTTTAGTTTATAATAGAACTCACAAGGTACTTGTTTAATGTTTAGTTAATAATAGATCTCACAAGGTACTTGTTTAATGTTTAGTTAATAATAGATCTCACAAGGTACTTGTTTAATGTTTAGTTTATAATAGAACTCACAAGGTACTTGTTCAATGTTTAGTTCATTAAAGAACTCACAAGGTACTTGTTTAACGTTTAGTTCATTATTGAACTCACAAGGTACTTGTTTAACGTTTAGTTAATAATAGATCTCACAAGGTACTTGTTTAATTTTTAGTTTATAATAGAACTCACAAGGTACTTGTTCAATGTTTAGTTCATTATAGAACTCACAAGGTACTTGTTTAACGTTTAGTTAATAATGATCTCACAAGGTACTTGTTTAACGTTTAGTTCATAATCGATCTCCCAAGGTATTTGTTCAATGTTTAGTTCATAATAAAACTCACAAGGTACTTGTTCAATGTGTAGTTCGTAATAGATCTCACAAGGTACTTGTTTAATGTTTAGTTCATAATGGAACTCACAAGGTACTTGTTTAACGTTTAGTTCATAATAGAACTAACAAGGCACTTGTTCAACGTTTAGTTCATAATAGAACTCACACGGTACTTGTTCAATGTTTAGTTCATAATAGAACTCACAAGGCACTTGTTTAATGTTTAGTTCATAATAGATCCCACAAGTCACTTGTTGAATGTTTAGTTCATAATAGAACTCACAAGGTACTTGTTTAGCAAATGATGGAAGTCATTAAGTATTTTTTAAGTTAATGATATTTATGAGTCAGAGGGTGTTTGTTTAACTCATAATAGAAGTCATTGGGTACTTAAGTAAATGTTTAAGTCAATAGGGTACTGTTTAGTTTCATTGAATTTATTAGGAGCTTGTTTAATACTTCATTAACATGTTTATTGAAAACCCTGCAAATTGTCTTTTCGTTTTCTGCGTGTTTTTTCTTTAAAAAGTCTACAATGATTTTGATCGCTGATCGCTTTAAATTAGTTGTTATTTGACCCAAGGGGTGGTGTGTTTGGACAGCTTTAAAAATGGAACCTCGAATTTTCCATGGTTGAGTTTTTCTCTCCATAACTTAAAAACGGTTTACCTAGAGTGTTCAAACCTATTTAATTTTTCCAACTTCATAATTTAGATCTCAAGATTTTAGAATGTTCGAAGTCTATGTATAGGATGAGGATGGTAAAAAAAATCTCAAATAGTTCTAACTTTTTATAATTAGAGCTACAAATCTAAACTTTACTGTAAAACCCTTGAAATGCATCCTTTTGTTAAAGTTTATTGTTTAAGCTTTCTTATATGAGCTGGCCTTAAGATAAGATACTCATAAGACTATTAAAATGCATCACACTCCCCTATCTCAACTTCATGGACTAATCTATTATGGGGGGGGGGGAACCTAACCCCCCCCCCCCCACCTTTATTGTATCGACCTAAAGCCCAGGGTGTTAAAGGGTTAAAGAATTATACGATGTTTCTAACTAAAACAGCAAAAATATATTGCTTGCATAACATTTCAGTTATACTGTAGCTAGCTGTCTTGTTTGAACTTCTATTACTATGTTTTCTTTACTTCCTAATATTAAAATTTTCTCGCAACTTTTTGTACTTCTTAACTCTTATTACCTTCTTGTCTAAAGTATCTTACAACCCCCCCCCCCCCTATCCTAGATATTATTTTTGACTGTCTGTATATCAAACACGTTATCCTGCCCCGACTGTCTGTATAACTGTAGGAACAAAGTACGCCCTAGTGCTCTGTCCCAGTTTCTCTCTCCTAGCAAAATTGAACACCAAACGTACTATGGGAGATACAATATACCCCGTACTATTTAGTTCTAGAAATCATTGAATACGAAAAGCTCCGCCAGAGTTCTGCCCTCCTAGCATTAAGGAACATTTTTGTAGAAATAGTACTCATAGTACTTTTCCCTTAAAGTATGAAATTTTCTCTAACCTGCTGCATAGTGCTTGAAATGCATACTGCAGACTGCAGAGTACGGTATAGTAGAACTAGAAGATATAAAGGCTCTCTCTCTTACTTCAGCTCATATTTTGTATGGTTCCATTGCAAATTCTAAGACAAAGAAACGTTGACATAGTTAGCGAAATTGGGAATACATTTTAAAAAAAGAAGAAAAAAATTAATTAACAATTTTTGTTTAAAAATATTAAAAATAATACTGATAAAATTAGTTGTAAATTAGAGTTGGATATAGGCGAAAATACGAATGTAGCCCTAGAGATTTCTAAAATCCGCATTTTGACTTTAATGTTGAAAAACGTCGAATAGAAGTAACACTTTAAATTTATCCTAATTTTTTGGTGATTATTTTGCTGAACGTTTTTAAAATGTAAATCTATTTTCTCGATTTTACAGAAAATACAGTAGACACCAAGGAAACTGTTCCGTATTTTAGAACAACGAATCCTGAGCTTCTACACAAGAAGGACCGAGGCCGACCCACGGAGGCCGTTGTGGTGATGAAGAGGAAGGGGTTCGGAGAAGGAGATGTGTTCGAGCATGTACCCGGAGCAGAGGTTCTGGATCTGGAAGAACCAGAGGTCTCTGAGCCCCCGGTTAGAGCAGGGAAGAGAAAGAGAGGAGATGACGAAGAAGAAGATGATTCTGGTATGGAAGTGGATGATAATGAGGAGGAGGTAAGATCAATATAGATCCAGAGAATTATTTTTGGTTTTAATGTTTAGTT